TCACGTTCGTCAATATGTGTACGCATTCCAGTTTTTGGTTATAGTTCATTGGTAAAAACAGGTGTGACGTGACGTCAGGTGGCCAATGGCGTTCTAATGTAGGGTGCCACCACACCAGCTCACATTCCTTTCGAGTATCAGATAAAAATCGACGGACTTTATGCATACGCTCAGTTCAGGTAGATGTAAATGCATGTAAAATGTGCACATTTTTTGAACATTAAACTACCTACAAGTTTCAAGTCTTCCACATTTAAAACGATATTTTGTACAGGGTGTTTTTTCATGTATTGAAACCCCACCTACAGCCTTTACCTTTACAGGTAGAAGAAAGGTGTAAATACAAAAGTTGTACAGTTTTGGCCGAATTTTTAGAGACCATTATAAGTCAGAAATAAAATTTGAATGTCAAAAATGTGAAATTTTGCATGCGTGTAGTTTTTGAACTAATGAGAAAAATTCACAACTGAGTGAATCAGGTTAATATTGTACTTGAACAACATATTGGTGAATAGATAGCTGGGTCCACTCATAGGTTCCGCAACAATCCATTCGTTTGCACTTGAATAACTTGTCACAATATACTACTAGTTTGGTAAAGTAACATTATTAATTCTTGTTGAAAGGCGATTTGACAAAAAGTGGATAATTTTCCAAATTCTGACTGTATAATAAGTTATTTTTCAAGTACAAATAAGTGGATTGTTGCGGAACTTATGGGTGGACCTCTGCGGGACGAGCGCAGCGAGTTCCGCAGCCATCTACTCACCAATATACTGTTCACCTGTTCAAATAAGACATTCACCTGAAACGTATAGTTTTTAAACTAATGAGAAATAATTCACATTTGAGTGAGTCAGGTTAGAATCGTAATTAAACAACATAATGATAAATAGATGGCTGCGGAACTCGCTGCGCTCGTCCCGCAGAGGTCCACCCATAAGTTCCGCATCAATCCACTTATTTGTACTTGAAAAATAACTTATTACACAAAGTCAGAATTTGGAAGATTATCCACTTTTTGTCAAATCGCCTTCCAACAGGAATTAGTAATGTTATTTTACGAAACTAATAACATATTGTCACAAGTTATTCAAGTACAAATGAATGAATTGTTGCGGAACTTATGGGTGGACCTCTGCGGGACGAGCGCAGCGAGTTCCGCAGCCATCTATTTATCATTATGTTGTTTAATTACGATACTAACCTGACTAACTCAAATGTGAATTATTTCTCATTAGTTTAAAAACTATATGTTTCAGGTGAATGTCCTATTTGAACAGTTCAACAGTATATTGGTGAGTAGATGGCTGCGGAACTCGCTGCGCTCGTCCCGCAGAGGTCCACCCATAAGTTCCGCAAGAATCCACTTATTTGTACTTGAAAAATAATTTATTATACAGTCAGAATTTGGAAAATTATCCACTTTTTGTCAAATCGCCTTTCAACAAGAATTGATAATGTTACTTTACCAAACTAGTAGTATATTGTGACAAGTTATTCAAGTGCAAACGAATGGATTGTTGCGGAACCTATGGGTGGACCCAGCTATCTATTCACCAATATGTTGTTCAAGTACAATATTAACCTGATTCACTCAGTTGTGAATTTTTCTCATTAGTTCAAAAACTACATGTTTCAGGTGAGTGTCTTATTTGAACAGTTCAACAGTATATTGAGGAGTAGATGGCTGCGGAACTCGCTGCGCTCTTCCTGCAGAGGTCCACCCATAAGTTCCGCAATAATCCACTTATTTGTACAGGGTGTTTTTTTATATATTGACACCCCACCTACAGCCTTCACCTTTACAGGTAGAAGAAAGGTGTAAATACAAAAGTTGTACAGTACAGAAACAAAATTTGAATGTCAGAAATGTGAAATTTTGCATACTTCCAGCTTTTTTCAAATGGGATGCCTTATATTTTATTTTATATTCTTGAAGAGCAGAATGCCCCGATCTATATTTGATTGAGCAATCTCCCATATATTCGGCTCCAAAAATTGTAAAAATACTATCCTACTACTGATTTTGTGAACCATTCTACCTGTATAGGTGAAAGCTGTAGGGAAAATTTGAGGTATCTACTTGGTTTCTCTGATAGTATTTTTAAAATTTTTAGAACCAAATTTGTTGGAGACGGCTCAACCAAATATAGACAAACTATATAGTTTTGGAATCGGGAAATTGTGCTCTTCAAGAATATAGAACCAAATATAGCGCATTCCATTTGAAGAAAGCTGAAAGCATGCAATATTTCACATATCTGACATTCAATTTTTGTTTCTGACTATGGATTCTAAAAATTTAGCCAATAGGTACTGTACAAATTTTGTATTTACACCTTTCATCTACCTGTAAAGGTAAAGGCTGTAGGTGGGGTGTCAATATATAAAAAACACCCTGTACATAATATTCAATAGTCATCTTGTCTTCATCTATACCTGTCACCTAATAATATACCAGGATTGACAGGTATCCACACGCTTAGTTGACAGGTAGATGTAAATGCATATAAAATGTGTAATTTCTTTGAACATTAAACTACCTGTATCTCGAAAACTATTCATAATATCGGATTGGGCCTATGAGAACTTTTTATCAGGCAGTCAAGATATACCACATATCAAAATTTCATTGAGTTTGACAGAAAACCAAAAACCCATAAGAGGTGTCCTTATAGGATATTTCTAAGTAGGTGTCTAAACTTATCAGACGAATGTCTCAAATTTCTAAGCCAGCATCTTAATTTAATAGATAACTCTTTTAGGACAAGTATTAACGAAAATATTTAAACGTTGTTTTAATTTATCAAACCTACCAGACAACAGTCTTACATGTCTTAGGACCGGTTTATTCACCTTCTGATAAACTATCAGGTATGCAATCTGACGGTCGACGGATGAGAACGTAATCTGTAATCTCATGAATGGTAAATTTATCTTGCAGATAGTCACCAGCAAGTTTATCTGAAGATGAATAAACCAGTCCTTACATGTGTAAATTTAGCAGAACATTGCCTTTGCCAGACATCTTAGGGACGTCTTTAAGATGTCTCTTTGTTGTCTGGGTTAATCTCTGGGAAAAATTATCAGAAATCTTTTGACTTTCGAGAAAATGTCTAAGCTTATCAGACAACTATCTTGTACTTCGAAAAGTGTCTGAATTCATTTGACGTCTACCTTAAAGTTAATCTAATCTTACTAGACGACCGTCTTAAAAGTTTCTAACGGTTAAAAGTTATGAGACGACTGTCCTGAACGATTGAGACAGTAATTGTTTTAAATTTCTATGAAAGTGTCTTAAATGTATTTGGAGAATGTCTGAAATTCATATATTGATTATCTCAGATTCCTGAGTGGCTAAATGTTACAGATTTTGATTGTCTTAATATTTTGAGAAAGTCTCCTAAATTACCTAGGTAGGTACCTACCAAAGAAAGTGTAAATATTTAAGCATAAAAAAATGTCAAGTGATTAATGCATGATCAGAAATCATTGTAACCGATTCATAATGATAATGTTCAAAAAATTACTGACCCTGCTCCAAAAAAGAAAGATCTTCGTTGAAGGTTTTGTTAAGAGATCCAAAATCTCGAATCACCCTATAGTTATTTGCCATAAAACCTCTAAAAAAAGAAAAAGAAAGATCTTGTTGAAGATTTTAAAACGTTGCCGACCAAAAACCGAAGAAAGGGAGGCTGCGGGTTGAGTTGGTTCAGCGAACGCTGGCTTGGAATGTCACCTTTACCGGTCGACATGACCCCTCCTGCTGTCCCCCCAATCTGTTGGCAGCCTCGCGCTTGACCCCCCCGGAGTTAAGTTGCTTGGCGACAACTTGCATATTTTTTCAGCGGCGGCCTTTGATTTATCTAACACTTGATCGGGTTCAAATTACTGACACTGCGGTATTAATTACGTTTAGAGTACTTTGGCCCCGAGCACGTACTAATAGCACGAGGCGGGAAAACTTGTTTAGACTTGACATAATGAAACATTATAGTATATAACTAATTTATTTAGGATTAATATTTGATAGGACTTTTTGTTCTATAGGTATAGGATCAATTATTTAGAAAACTATTACATTTACAGGTCTAAAAATGTACTTTACGATAGTCACTTTAATGACTGCATGGAACAGTAGGTAATAAATTTTCCTTTTGTGCATATATTCAGTGTCAATTTTAAAGATTTACATGTAGATGCCAAATTAATGTGGTTTTCAAGATTACACAAGAGATTTCACTTAGAAATACTACGTGATGTCATGCACAAAACATTATTAGAAACATAATTAAAAATTATCTTTGATTTACTATTTGGTTTAGTGTAATTTTTTCAAGAATTTCATAAAAATCTCTAAGCCTTATGTATGCCTACTTAAACTGAAATCCTAATCAGATAAAAAAAATACATTTTTCTAGAACATGGCCAAATCTCATTATTATAATTATATCATTAAATATGTAAAGAGTATCTGACAAATCTCTAATTTTACCTCAATAAACAACACTTCAAAGATGTTTATTTTCCTTATTGTGATAAGATTCAGTATGATAATAATAGGTAATTAGTAATCCCAAATAATATAACAATCGTAATTGTATATTGTCATGATGATTTTGGGTAAATTCGGATTAGAAAGGTATACCGTCATAGTTCCCGGATTTCAAATAATTTGTCATTAATTTCAAGAAATTGTTTAATGGGTTATTTCATTATAGGTAGGATCAAAATATTAAAGTGGATGCTAGAATTTTGAAATTGGCCTTTTGTTATAAAATACCTATATTGAAATTTATCCTCACAGTTTTGAAATTGAAAGTATATACCTAACCCAATTACTTTATATTTTTTTCCGTTGAAAACAAATATTGACATTATAACAATAAAAATACTTTGATGCTCTCAATAATGATAAATTTACATCAACAATTAGTATAACTATATTAATTAATAATTATCGTATAGAAAAATAGAAATTAGTTAGCATTACTTACAACAATGTTTTTGTCTTTTTTGAGTGATTTTTATCTCGAATGTGCTAATTCAATTATAATAAAACAATCAATCTCAAGAATAAATATTTAAACACCCAATTATATTGTGTCACGTATAAATTGTGTAATATTTTCTATGGTTTACTGCACTTTTGGAAATCTAGGACAGAACAAATTTTGTTAATTTGTTTTCAACATGGTTAATTCAATTATTTATGCTTGAACAAATGCAAAATATATATTGTCAATAGAATATAATACATCATCATTGGTCTTGATAGGGATTTTATCGTAAGCCAAAATTCTTGATAAGGCAATGAAATAAATAAATCTTAAGTCTCAAATTACATCACCGTGATACTTTAATCCGAAACAATGCGTAATTTTTATGATTATTGGGCTAAATATGAGATTTTGTCGAAAAATAATCTTCAATGAGTAGCCATGAAATTAATATTTTGTTATTTTAGTACCTATATCGAAAAACGTGGAGTTTTGACTTTTTTTAAATTTTAAGGTGAGATTTTCCGGAAAAGTTACAGACTTATTGTATAAAACATTTAATCCATGTTAATCTCCTATCATTTTTGATACTGACAGATTGGAAAATTCTAGAAATTATTCTGGTTTGTTCATTTATCATGTTTAAGACAGCTACAATTGCATATTTATCATAAATAAATCCTCCACTTTGGTATTGTAATGTCAAGATTACAATAAATTTTGCTTTGGAAATTCCAACTTACACAAATTCAAATTGTGGAAATGAAATAATGTCGAAATGATTATTTTCTGTGTACATATTAATATTTCTCTTTTGTTTTGAGATTTACCTATCAAACAAACACTCATCATACATGATGGAAAATCTGTGAACTTTAATTGTTACAGTTGTTGTAATTGATTGTAATTTTTTCGTTTTTAGATAACTAAAATTGTTTTGTATTTGTCACGGATCAAGTCCAAAAGTTACTATCTATGCTTTGTCACGGTTTTTAATAGTAACTTTTTGACGTCCTAACGTGATTTTTTTTTATTCGTCGAATATGCACATATTCGTTATATGAAAATCATAAAATTTTATCTTATAGTTTCTCTAGTAGCAATAATAATTTTATAGTCGACCCAAATGAGTGATTTACTGAGTCAATGTCAGGTTATGCTCGCGTCAACCAGCCGTTAAGTAGGTTTATAAAGTAATGATCCACATTGATGTATATTTGAAGAAATTTTCATGTTAAAGCCATTAATTTTCAAACTTAAGTGTTAACGAAGACCCTGTGAAACTTGAAAATTTTGTATATCATGAATAAATATATTGTGTAACGTGTGTGAAAAGTGCTTTTTCTAACACGTCTTGTTTGCACAGTATGATATTACGTCTTTTGAATGATATTTATATCAGTCAGTAGTAGTGCAACATGTATCCGAAGCACTATTTTATTCATATCAAAATTCACATACGTGAAGAAAAGTTCACTTTACACCACTTGTTGCAGAAATAGCTATTTGAGTTATCGGAGTCCAGGATGTTTTTTTTTTAAATAAGGACCTGTATTTTTTTTGTTGTTGCTTACTTTGGAAAGAAATTTAATTTACCAACAGGCAGTCTAGGTGCTCGACGTTTCAGACTGAAAAATTCATCATCAAAGATGTCATTTAAAATTAAGCCTTATTACGGTTTTGAATTTTATAAACTTTCTGGAGGGCTTTATTGGAAATTGATGCAACTTTGCGTACACGCAAATGACGTCATTTGGGATTGAAAGTTGGTGCACGGCTTATTGGACATGTACTTTTTCAATCGAAAATGACGTCATTTGTGTCATATTTGCGTGTACGCAAAGTTGCATCAATTTCAAATAAAGCCCTCCTGGTTGTTTTTGTTTGATATCCTTCAAAATAACATCTTACACTATATTAATCTCACTCATTTTCAATAGTTACACAAGGCCATTTTGTGTACAACATCCTACTAGCAAGATAAGACGTTTGGAGTGTTACCTTTCTCTTGCTTTATTCTTATGAGATAGAGAAAGATGTGTATAATCCCTCGGAAGAATACCCATGTAATTTTCGACCAATGATGTTTTTTCGACAGTTTAATTTAAGGATATGTTTATGTCTTTGCTGGAAGCTAATGGCGTTTTTCATTTGTTGCACCGTGGTGCAATTTTTATATTCCATTTGACTGCACATGTTCAGTTTTCATTTTCCATTTGAAATTCAGTGCAATTATGTATGCACTCAGTGCGCATTTTTTGGCATGAGCTAGGAAGGCTCGTGGAGAGCCAGTGCAGTTTGTTTTGTTTTTGTTCACTTGTAGCGTATGTACACTTGGCCAAACATAAAACTGGTACAGGCAATATATATTTTTCAAATTTTTTTCCAGTGTGAGTCGGGCTTAACAACAAAAAGTCTCTTCCTGAAAAACTTAGGTCAGACAGTTTCTGTCAATATCAAAGCTTAATAAAAGTAAATGTAACATGTTCTTATGTTATGTTTGGTTCAAAGATGACACTGACTTGACTCTTTTTCTCATTTTTGAGGTGATAAAAAAGGTCGATTTACACAATACAACACTATAGGAAATTGCGTACCAGTTTTATGATTGGCCAAGTATACATAAAAATGTATGCTAATTTGGCAGTCCAACGACCTTTCAAAGTTATTCCAGAATGGCGACGGGGGCGGAAGCTCATTATCCCGTATATGAGAGTAGAGAATTTAAAGCTTTTTAAAGTGCATTGTGTGGTTGTTTTGTGACTGAACTATCTTTATTTTTTTATTGTATTGACTTCATAAGTGTTTTTTCCAATTAAAAATTTCACAAAGGTGTCTCGTATTTGATTGTGGATGTCATCGTTTCAACAAGGTGTTTTTCAGTGCCCACCGTTTTAGGCTTTTCCAATCGAAACGTGAAAATTATTCAGTACCACTGTCCCTAGTGTCCTTGAATCTAAAATAAAGCCATACTCGAAATACTTGTGAGGATCTAAGCTTTTGTAGGCCCTCATTTGCTCAAGCTGGGACTCTGTAACGGATAGAGATCGTTATCCCTATGGCTATGGCACTTGCTATCTTCTTCTCTCTTTTCGAAATCAATAGAGAGGAGACGCCAATAGAGATAGAGAAAATATATCTATTCGTTACAGAGTTCCAGCGCAGTCTCTTCTGTACAAAAGATTTTTTGTCAAATACATATGACAATCCCTGTCAGTGCCGTGAGCCCATTTTACAATAGGAAAAATCGGGTATCCCATTTTTAATGCTCACGACTGTAGGTGTTCGACGTTTCATAGTGAAAAAACCACCATCAAACATACAGTGCGGCCGTAAAGTAAGGAATAAATTCAATAATTATTCTTCTAAGCAATTTTTTTTTAAATCCTCGAACACGTCAATTTTATTTTTTGTCGAGCATTTTTTATAAAATAAAATAATTATACAGGGTTGTCGCAGAAAAGCTGGACAGGTACCTAGTAATCTAATTTTTAAATAGACAGTTAGACACCTCTAATTTTTTTTCATGAAACATATCCTAAAATCTAAGTCAGGAATGTAAAATCGGTTTTCCTCTAAAATTAACCGTTTAGGTTTTACAGCCTGTTAAAGTTCCAAAGTTGCAAAAAGTCAATTTCCAACTGTCAATATTTCCGAAAGAGTTGAAGATACTTAGTGAAGATAGGTATAGGACATGTTTCATGAAAAACACTTAGAATTTTATCAGAAATCCGAAAATGTAAAAAAAATTAGGGGTGTCTATTTGAAAAAATTAAGTTACTACCTGTCCAGCTTTTCTGCGACCACCCTGTATATTTATTTTATTTTATAAAAAATGCTCGACAAAAAATAAAGTTGACGTGTTCGAGGATTTTAAAAAAAATTCCTTGGAAGAATAATTATTGAATTTATTCCTAACTTTACGGCCGCACTGTATAATTTTAAATTAAGCCTTATTACGGTTCTGAATTTTATAAATTTTCTGGTAGTTAGCGTTTGATTTCCTACAGAAAGTCTTCCTATACTATATCTGTCTCTCTCATTGTCAATAGCTACTTTATTTACAACATTCTAAATAGGCCGTTTGGAGTGTTATGTTTATCTTCTTATGAGATAGAGAAAAATGTGTAGGTATAACCTGTGGTATAACACCCTGGAAGAATACGTTATATTTAACCAATGACTTTTTTTGACAGTTTAGTTTTAGTTTATTTTTAAGTTTTTGTTGTTGGAAACTTAAAAAATAATATTATAAAGTGTATTCAAGTATTTGAATGCTGAGATGTTTAGATGCAGTTAAAATATACGCCAATTTTTACCAAGAATAGGTGAATTTCCAGTACAAAAATGTTTAAAAGAATGGAAAGAAATTTACAAGAGCACGGTTGAGAAACCTCAGGAAAAAAGAGAGAAGTGCCACTTTACTTTAACTTTGGGAGAAGTGAGTATCAATACAAAAAATAATATTATAATCGAGATTATAATTTGGTTTTAAGAATTGTATTAGGCAATCCAAACCACGTGACATTCAAGATGGCGTGGCGGCCACACACGGACCCAAAAACACAAAAAAATATCTAGTTTTTGCCTTTCTTGATAGTTTACGTACAGTAAGCAAAAAGCAAATATTTTATTGAATAATCAAAATCAAAGCTGCAAGCAAAACTCGAAGCAAAATAATTGAAATATGCATGGAAACACATATTCAAAACAAACTTGCTGGCCGCCACGCCATATTCTTTGGTTGAACTGAACATAGATGTGCGCGCCGCTGGGGGGCATTAGTGACATTTTTGCTGAATGTGTACTGTCTTCTATGGTACTGTCAAATTTCTACCTATTTGCCCCACTGATTTCAAAAATAAATGGATAAACAATGTTTTGTTTTTTTTTAAAGATAATAGACCTATCTATTTTGCCAGACAAAGAGGTAATAATACGAAAACTTCATTAGATAAAAAAAAGACACAGAACGCTCATGCCGCAAAACGTACCAAATTATGTTAGACTTACGTATAGCAATCCGTTCTTCTTATTTGCACAGGATAAAAAAGAAAGGAGAAAGACCGCATGTTGTGCAACGTATTTGTCAAAAACAACTTTCGAATGTCACTTGTCAAGCTATGTCAAGATGAATATCAATCGTACTTTTATTCTTCTCAAACCACGGGCAATAAACAAGGACAAGGAGATGCCCAGCGTGCAAAA